TGGCTGGAGAATTCTGGGAGTTGAAGTCCACTCATCTTAAAGTGGCCAAGTTTGGACAACACTGCTATAGGGCAACGTTGAGTACATGAGTAGAATTATGTACAAGGGATGTGCAATGGGGTTTCTAATTGTATACATGGAGATACTTTGCTTGCATATAACTCCATGTTTCATGATTCTCATGAGTGAATTGCTATGGTATGATTATGGTCCCAGCCTCACCTCACTGAACTATCTCTTTCTCAAGAAAAATCTTTGCTGTGGTTTGATTTACAGTTTAGGGTGTGACTTGCCTGGGAAGGTGGATTAGCAAATGATGTTCATTGAAAATGGGTCTTCATTCATTCAGGTTCTTTTCCCTTTTGGGATGGGCAAAAGGGCCAGAACTTTTAATGCACTGCATTGACCTCCCGAAACATCTTCTGTTCTTGTCCTGCACTGCAACAGAAAAATAATGGAAATGTTTTTTCCTCCTTTCCTCCACCCCTCAGGGTTTTCCGGGCGATTTGGGGGAATGTGGACCACCAGGTATAGATGGCGACCCGGTAAGTTGGTAGAACATTTTCTTGTAGGTTTTGGATTGGCCTCCTGCAAAGAGCCATGGGTTTCTACTGTGGTTTGATGTTCCCTCTTGAAATGAAGCCCATCTTTTTTGTAACACGTCTGTAACCTTGAGTAGTGAGTGGGAAGGGTTGGTAAGATCCCACCTCCTTTCTCCTCTTCTGTTTCATTGCAGCCCTACTGAGGGTCATATTTGCTGGGGGGAGTAATGACCTGTTGCTTATAGTACTTATGTCAACTTCCCCAACACAAAGCAGATGCATTCTCTTCATGTCTAGGATGTAGCAATCAAACACCAATGCTCTGTTTTGGGGGAGGTTTTGTTTTGGAAGGAAGTCTGGAGGGGTAGGACCATCATATATTTTGGATTTGCCTTGCACACTACATCCAATCTCCAGAATGGTTAGTGCAAGGATCTGCAGACAGTATTCCTTGTTCTGTTGTTTTTCCTCCCCCTTTTTATTTATGCCCTGATAGCTTTCACTGCTCTCAGTAAAGTCATAGCTTCCCTGTATAAGTGTGATTTGAAGCTCAAAAATTCCATTTACTGTCCAAGAGATAAGCTTTCCCATTTGGCTAAGGGTTTCCTGCATTTCAGCCCATCAGTTTGTTTTTATGGGTTTTATTAAACATAAAACATTCCGAGCTCAAGTTTCCCTAATGTATGGATGGAGAAGGTGTCTGAGCTGCATTTCTTAGCAGGCCTAGCTGATATTCTCAATTATTATGGATGCTTGGAGTTCAGCCACATCTGGAGGCCCCAGGTTTCCAATTCCTGCCCAGATGTATGTAGATATTAATGCAAATATCACTGCACACTTTCTCTTTTAGCACACATTTCTTCAATATCATTCTTGGCTATGTCAATTCCCCTTCTGCAGACTTTAAAAAAATGCATGTCCCCCCAGGCTACATTCTCTTTCATTTCACCAGTCCACATTCAAAAACATGCATTCTTTTTCAGATGCATCTTTTATAAAGGACTGCTTTTTTTTTTTAAAAAAAAGGATTTTGACTAGAGAGGAATGGACTATATTGGATGCCATCCCAATGGACTGACTTTGTTCCTTGTCCGTTAAAATAACGCTTTTCTCTGGTCAGCAGAGGTTTGAACAGAAGGCAGAAGATCAAAAGATGGTGTCCAAGGCTTGGTTGGACTGGAGAGAGCTAAATTGAGTGGTCGCCTTCTCTTTGGGGATGTGACGATGCAGAAGTAGCCTCTGTTTTGCCACCCAGATGTTTCCAGCTGTTGAGCTTAGAAACCAGAAGGTGTTGATCCCAGAATTGTTACACTGGGGCAGGATAAAAATTCTGCTGATAAATAATAAATAATATGGACAAATGGCAAATCTGATTGACACGTGCTTTGGAATCAGATCAGTTCTGCTGAAGGGTTGCCAGAAGCCTTCACGTGATCTGATTGAGATAACATGTCAGGGAATATCAATAGATGGATTTTTATCCCCAACCTACATGGATTTTTTTCCACCCACCTGCCACAGAGTGAGTCATCCGATTGTGCAGGCATCATGCCTGGATCAATTCATAGGAGGCAAAATGCTGTCCTGATTTCAAAGATAGACTCTTCCATGGGAGGTCATCTTAAGAAAGCCAAGAGCATTTGGAATTTCTGTTCGTTCCCCCAATTTCATCGCCTCCAAGAATCAGACTCCCCCCTTAAATTTCCCCTGAAACATCTTGGGCTCATTTAAAAAAAGATTAATCCAACACAGAGCTTGAGGTCACTTTTGGGAAGCTCCGTTTGAGGAGACAGGAGCATCCCGTCTGCTGTAAGGCTGAGGCTTCAGCAGAAAGGACTTTTCCCTTGACATGGCTTTGTTTTGTTTCTCCATGGCCCTCAGTGTGCAGAATAAAAACAGAAGGTCCCAGCTTGTTTGAAAAGGAGACGCTTGGCAGGGGCCAGGAGGAGTCACTGACGGAGCAAATTCCAGGAGAGGAACATGGATGGAATGGAGTCTTGCATTTGCAAGGGGAGGCGGGCTCGAAATAGCTGCCCCATACAGAGCTAACGCACAGCCAGCCCTGCCGAGTGGGATACCCACTTTGGGGTCACAGCCCTCTTCTGCTGATCTGGCCAGTTTGTGGACAAGGCACCCCATTGCCATGGGTAGTTCTTTTCCCAAGACATTCAGAGGCAGGACGTTTCACTTAAACCCCACTGTCCCGTCTTTCTCACGCCGTGTCCAAGTAATTCCCCCACCCCTTGGGTCCACTGAGGTCAATAGTCAAGTAAAAACTGGAAGTGGTGGGGACAAGAAAGAAGCAAGATACTTGTTAGGAATTGATTTGCATGGATCCCCCCCCACCCCCAATAAGGCATTATTCTGATTCCACACACGTACACGCGCACACCTTTTTTAAAGAGATATTTTCAGAAGATTCCCTAAACCCAGTTTGCACCTCCTTGCTGTTCACCCCTTTCTCTAATGTATGGAGCTTTTTATATCTGTTTCCCCCCCCCCCCCAAACACATAAGCTCCTGAAGTCATGTTCATGTGCTCAGTTTCCTAGAGTCATGGATGCCAATTTCTCCAGATGAAAGCTGTTCTGTTTTGTGTAACTAACCCTAATATACATTTACGTGCTCTGTGTGTGTGTGTGTGTGTGTGTGTGTGTGTAGATAAGCATATTTCTTCCTCCTCCCCCTCCCCCTCCCCCTCCTCTTCCCATTCCAAATCTGGCATCATTTGTTGGTCTGAGTTGGGTGAAATTATTTGGTTTCAAGTTCTAGCTGGGAAACAAATGGCTGGCTGGCGTGTTTTTTCAGCCCCAATTCCAGAGTCTCTAAAATGGGTGCAGGAACAGTTACTTTGTAGGGTTGTGTTGGAGATTCATATATTGGATGTAAGGAGAGGAATGATACTGCTTTCTTCTCTCTCTCTTTTTTTCCCCCATTCCCTTTGATCTTCCCTTCCCTTCCCTTCCCTTCCCCTTTCTATGCCTCTCTTTCCTTACTTCCTTCCCCCCTCTTCCTTCCTCCTTTCCATTCATTCCTTCTTTTTCCTTTCCTTTCTGTCTCTCCTTTCTGTCTCTCCTTTCTGTCTCTCCTTCCTTCCTTCCTTCCTTCCTTCCTTCCTTCCTTCCTTCCTTCCTTC